CCTCTGCAAGAGCAGCCAGTGCTCTTAACCACTGTGCCATCTCTTCAGTTCTTTGTCCCTTGACTCCCACTCAGCTGGCTGTTTACCATTAGAAAAGATGTAGGGGTGTGTGTGTGTATTGTTATGAGGTCTCATGTAGCTGAGGCTGGCCTTGAACACTCAACTCCTGTTTTCACCTCCCAAGTGCTGGGTACGAAGCCCATCACCACACACAGCTCTGTCTCAAATAAATTTATTTATTTATTTATTTGAAGCGCAACGAAAAATTTTATTAGAGTTTGAGAGAAAAGCAACAGAACAGGCAAGCTGTAAATCCTGGCAACTGTTAGGATCAGCAACATAAACACACACACACACAGAAAATGAGAGTTCAACATTAGCTATGGACATATTATGGACATTAGCTATGTCCATTAAAATGGACATCATTAGTAATCTTTAATTTTTTTTTATTTGGTCTTTTTGAGACAGGTTTCACTGAAGCCACATCTGGCCTGGATTCGCTGCTATGGAGACCAGGCTGGCCTCGAACTCAGAGATCCGCCTGCCTCTGCCTCCTGAGTACTACGGTTAGAGGCATGCACCATCATGCCTGGCAGTAATCTTTCAATTATTTCTAAAATTATTTTAATTAAGTGTATGTGTGTGTCTGTATGTAGGCAGGTACTCAAGTATAGGTGCCTGCAGAGGCCGGAGGCATTGCATCCCCTAGATCTGGAGTTACAAGCAGTTGTGAGTGCTGGCAACCAACCTTGGGTCCTCTGAAAGAGCAGTAAGTGCTCTTAACCACTGAGCTATCTCTCCAGTCCATCATTGGTAATCTTTAATTGATAAGATTTATTTTTATTAACTTTTTGTGTGTGAGTGTTTTGTCTACATATATGTATGTGAACTATGTACATGCTTGCTACCCAAAGAGGTCAGGAGAGTTGGATTCCCTAGAACTGGAGTTAGGTTATGAGCTATCATGTTGGTGCTGGGAACCTGGGTTCTCTACAAAAGCAGCAAATGCCATTAACTACTGAGCCATTTCTCCAGGCCCCCATGATTGGTAATCTTGACAAAGGTAGTTTCAGCAGGGTACTGCATCCAAAGTTCAATAAAAGAAAGTTTAAGAAAGAATGAGTCAGACTGGAATCCTAGCACTTAAGAGGGGTAGTATTGGGGGAGGAGGGTGTCAGGCAGGAGGATCAAGTCATTCTCAACTACAGAATAAGTTCAAGGGCAGCCTGCCTACATACTGCTCCAGCCTGGCCAGATCTATATAGTGAGACCCTGTCTCAAAAAAATAAATAAATAAACATAAATAAACCAAGGGTGAGATAGAGGGAAGGAGGAACTGAGAGAGTATCAATGAAAGGGCTGAGGATGTAGCTGGCCCAGTACATGCATCAAAACCTGGGTTCAATTCCCAGCACTACATAACCTGGGTACAGACTACATGCCTATAATTTCAACACTCAAAGGGTAGAAGCAGGAGGATCAGAAATTCAAGATCATCCTCTGACACACAGCTAACCCGGGACACATGAGACCTTGTCTAAAAAAAAAAAAAAAAAAAGACTGGAGAGATGGCTCAGCAGATAAGAGCACTGGCTGCTCTTGCAGAGAATACAGGTTTGATTCCCAGCACCCACATCCCAGCTAATAACTGTCCATAACTCCAGTTCCAGGAGATCCAATACTGACACCCTCTTCTGACCTCTGTGGGCATTTCACAACGTGGGTGCATTTACTTACATACATGCAGGCAATACACTACTACACATAAAAATAATATTCTTAAAAAGAGCAGAGTCTAGCTGGGTGTGGTAGTGCATGCCTTTAATCCCAGCACTCAGGAGGCAGAGGCAGGCCGATCTCTGTGCTTTCAAGGCCAGCCTGGTCTATATAGTGAGTTCCAGGACAGCTGGGGCTACAGGAAGACCCTGCTTCAAAAAAACCAAAAAAAAAAAAAAAAGCAGAGTCTAATAAGGCCTTGTTTGCTTATGAAGAGAAATGATTGTATGTTTAGAGGAGTAACTCAGTAAAAATGGAAAAAGTAAAGAATTGCTGAAATGCTATCCTTAAGGAGGCGACCTAAGAAAAGGTTGTCTCTCCAAAACTTCAGAGATATATAGTAACGGGAAGTATGAGGATACAGATGCTGGTAATGGGGAGACATGGTGGCAGGGAAAGGTGTGTGCATGTGTGTATCTGCATGCATGTGTCTGATCTACATGCATGTATGTGTTTGCATGTGTGCTACAGTGGATGCCTGTGAAGGCCGTAGGTTGATGTTAAGTACCCTTTTCCCTCACTGTACATATTATACTGAGGCCAGGTCTCTCACTTGAACTCAGAGTGCACTAACTGTCGGTCTAGCCTCTGCTTCCCAAGTGCTGGAATTATGTGGGTGAGTGTTACAGGTGGGCCACCATACCCACTCACCTACCCAGCATTTTTGTGGGTGCAGGGAATAGAAACTAAACTCAAGCAAG